TATATATTCTTGTCAAAATAAAAAAATAATAAATGAAGTTAAATCTTTAAAAAACAAACTACAATTAACTTTATGTAAATCAAAATAAGTTACGCCTTGGTTTTCAAAGGCCTTACTCAACAGCTGTCCCTCACTATCTCTGGGGATTTGGTTCCAGGACGCCCATGGATACCCAAATCCAGACACTAAATTCCATTATATAAACTGGCATAGGATTCCCAAATAACCTATCCAGATTCTCTCATATACTACAATGTAACTACTATGTGAACAGTCATTATACTGCATTGTTTGGGAATAACAAAAAACAATTATTTATACATTTTCGGTACACATCTATCAATTTTTTCCCCAAATATCTTCAATCAGTAGTTGGTTGAATCTATGCATGTCAACACAAAGGAATGAATATATTACAATAAAATGTTCATAATAATGTAAATGTTATTGACATATACACAAATCAAGTATACAACTTCAAACATTAAGACATAAAGGAAAACCAGAACTCGAAATTGGAATTTTAAATAAATCTATCATGACGTTGTGGGGTTTTTTTTTTTTTTTGAGAGGTTTTTCGCTATAGGGCCTGTGTAGTCGCCAGAGGGAGATAGACATAGAGACAGAAAGCGAGAAATCACCCCCCAGGGGGGATGGTCACGCCACAATCCCTTCTCCTCCATTCTCCTCTTGGGATCTTGGGCACACGCGCCCAGCATGAGTTTTAAGCCACCGGGTCCAGGACACAAACTGCAGTCGACTATGTGGGAGTCCAGTGACACAGCCATTACACTAACTGCTGGTTCCCCATGAAGTTGTTTATTAAGTTTTGTGTATTTGAGAGAAATCTGATTTCTGACAAGAGTCTTGCCATGTCAAGACTCCTGGGGACCAGCAGGTGGCGTGGTGGTTAAGGTGATGGACACTCCCCCATGGCCAACCATGGGTTCAGTCCCGGACCTGATGGCGTGCTTTCTCACTTTCTCTCTCTCTCTCTTCAATTTAATACAAATGGATGAATAAATAAAATTAAGTAATTAAAAAAAAAAGATTCTCCTGAGCCAATCTCCCACCTTGCTAAGACTAACGGTGCACATCATCTGTTCAGCCTACCTAGGATGGGCTGAGCATTAAACCCAGGCTTCTTATGAAGTCTCAGCCATTCGGTAGCGTCCCTTAGCAGTGCAGTTGAGCACTAACATTAAGTTTACACTAAAAACAGCAAGTGAATCCTTACTAAATCCTTTTCCTTTGCCATATGGCACATGTGTTCACCAGAGACAGAAACAGAGACAGAAAGTGAGAATCACCACCCAGGGGGACCACCACATTGCAATCCCTACTCTTCTGGGGATTTGGGGGCATGCACACACATGTACCTGGTATGATTTTCAAGTTGCCAGGTCTGGGACTTGAACTGCAGTCAGCAATGTGGGAGGTCCAGCACCTTAAACACTATGGTGCCTGCTGGCCCTCAGAATATATCTTACTAATGGGATTAGCAGATAGCACAATGGTTGTGTCACTGGACTCCCCTGTAATGGACTGCGGTTCAAGTCTCAGACCTGGTGACTTATGCTAACAGAAGCGTGAGCTCAAAGTCCCAAAATTGGAAGAGAAGAGATTAGAGAGATTAGAGTGACCATCCCCCCAGAGGGTGATATCTGGCTTTATGTCTATCTCTGTGCCACCAGCAAGCAAGCACATGCATGCTACGGGGGGGGGGACCCTTCCCTCTCAGGACCAGCAGATGGCACATGGCCAATTGCAGTTCAAGTCCCTGGCTTGCTTTCCCACTTTCCCTCTTCTCTCTCTCTGGCCAAATCCAATGAACAGATAATTAATTAAAAAACAAACAAACAAACAAAAAACTCCTAAAAAAAAAAAAAAAACCAACAACAAAAAAACGCACACACACAACAGACAAGAACATATTTTACCACTATATTTATATTTACCTTGAGTTTTCTGTTCAAGAAGTCGTCGTCTTTCATCCATGTCCTTTTCTGGAATACCTTCCATACCATATATTTCCAACTCTATGTCTGTTCTTCCAGGTATTGCATTTGGTACAGCATCTATTGTCTCTTTATGTACCTAGTATTAGAAAACAAATAGAAAACTTCTATTAGATACACAATGCCTCAAGAGTAATTTCAAATTACTCAAAAAACACATAAGCAGAACTATAGAGAACAATGGCTTGGGGACACCAGGTGGCACAGTGGTTAAGGTACTGGGCTCCCACATGATTGACTGTGGTTCAAGTCCCAGACCTGGAGGCTTGTTCTCACACTCCTTTCTCTGATTCTTGTGAGAGCACATGCCCTATAGCAAATTTAAATGGTAGTAATAATAAAGATAATTCTTTTTTTTTTAAGAATTATTTTATTTAACTTCATTTTTTTATTTTAATGTGACCACAGATGGGTGGGATTGGGTGGGGAGGGGAGAAAAGAGGGGAG